GCGGTTCCTTAGCGTCCCGAGGGCGAACGCCGGGTCTTAAATTAGGAACAAATGCCCGTTTAGATTTACGAGCGGTGCCAATTTACGTCCTTATTTACCGCGGCCTCCCTGCGTTTCCGCGGCCGCGGGTTCCGACGTCCCTCTTAAGTCCCCACGTCGAGGGGCATAAATCCCGGCGTCTTCCTCCAAGTTCGTCGCGACGCTCTTCGACCCCCCGCAAGTGTCGCGAGTGTCGAGCCCGCCCACCGGAGACGGGCCATCCCGGCGATGCGAATAAATTGATCGGCCATTAGAGAGGGTGGTTTCCTTTTTCCTCCTTTCCCGCGACGCTCGGGGCGTCGCTTTCGACGTTTCCGTTTCCTCTCCCCTGAAAGCCTCCGGAGGCGCCGAACGCCGCGGCGTTTCCTCGCGCGACGTCGAAGCGAGCGATAAAAAATATTTTTATTATACCCCGAGAGGGAGAGAAATGGCTGGATGTCGAAAAGAACCCGCGTTCTCGGGTTCTTGGCGTCGCGTGTCGCTTTGGAGCACATCGTTAGCGCACCGAGGGCGGGTCTCGGTGCTCTCCTTCTTTTTTCCCCCTTTTCTAGGAAACAGGTGAGCGGCGGCCATTCCGACGGTCCGCGCCTCGTTATTACGTCCCGCGGGAGCGTTTCTCCCGCGGCTCGTTACCCGCGAGGATGGAGACATTAACGGAAACGCAGCGGACGTTGGACGGCCCGCCGCGGGGAAACGGGCTCCAAGAGGAGCGGCAGATCCAGTTCCAGGGCCGCGCGAGTTCTTCGGCCCCGTTTCTCCCGTGGGGCCCGTGAACGTCGACTTCGAGAGCGGCTCTCGAAACTCGGCAGACTTTTCCGCCAAGTACGCGATTAAGAATAAATTCGATGATTTTAGTCGGGAATTTAATTAACCGATTTAAATCATCCCAGTCCCTCTCCCTGAGTTCCGCGCAAAGTACATACGCGCGAGTGATCGTAATCGCGATATAGGCGCGAATCGAATTTTTAGTCGTCATTTGGTCAGACCGAACGTTTATCCGACCTTCCGAGACTTGGGATCGAGGGTTCTCGCGTTTGCTTGAATGTTCAGGGGACGTCGAGAGGACGTAAAGAGGGACGAGGTCGGGTCGCGGCAGGATATGTCGATAAGGCCGGCATTGTCCGGCAGCCACGCGGTGGCCCCTGCCCACCCTTTAAACACCGCTGTTTATATTAAACTCCGGGGTTAATACCGTGGCTTACTCTAATACCGGGGCAACCCTTGCCCTGCGATATGCTGATAAGGAATATGCATACAGATAGAGGCGCACACCCCAAGACTCCTCGGAATTTCGCGGCTCCCCGTCGATGGCGATCCTCCACGAGAGGGCGGATTTACGCCGAGCACCCCTCGACCCGATACCACCTTTCAAAGACCCCCGGGTATTTCGGATTCAAAGGGTAAATTCCCTAGACCCTCCGTGCTCTCGAAATACCCATCGCTAAACGGTGGATAATTTTATCCAGACGGAGAAAAAAAAAAGAATGACCAGGGAAACCACAATTGTGGTAATCGTATCCCCTTAAAACCAGAAATCTTTAAGGCAGGCGTATCTGACGGATTTTTTTTTTCCTGCGTATACGCGCAATCTAAGTTACTCTTGCAGGGGATTTCGGGGACATCGACGGAGGAGGGGTCGTTATCGGGGTCGGGGGGCGATTCGCGGCCCCGGTGCGGGGGGTAAAGAGTAGAGATAATAAAATGAAAATGGGCGCACTCCGAGTCAAGGGTTGGCCACGCGACCCCGACCCCGACCCGGCTCGACGCAACAACGCGAGATAGAGAGCGCCAACGAGAGAGGGAGGGAGCAAGAGGGGGCAGGACGAACACCGGGGTTGCGAGTCGGGTTCACAGATAACACCCCGTGTCACGGCGCCACCCCCGGCGCGATGCATTGGCGCCGACACCGGCATTGTCCTCGGCCGGCGCTTGCGGAAAAACGACGAACTTTTGCGTTTACACCCCGATAAACGCACGCGAGTACTCGGACTAACGAGAAGCGTCCCGGTAATCCTGTACCGTGTTAAAGACTCAAATTATTCGGTCCACTCGGTTTGGAGAAATGTTTTATAAATATTTTGACGTTTCAATATATGCAGAATGACCTTCCACTAACTCTAAAAAAAATTCATCGTACCAAAGAAATAATTAGTTACTGACCGAAATAATTGTTATAGGAATTAGCAGAATACTTCATTTGTTCAACGAACGCTTTTCCTCCGGATGGAAGGATTACCATTGCACGCACGACCGTTATTTGCACGAGGAGTCACTTTTATGGAGCGGAATTCCAGCGTGGATTTAGCGATCAACGCGAAACGAGGAAAAGAGGGTCGCGTTTCGCGTAATCGCGGGAACGAGCGCGATTGAATTTCCGGCGTTTTGCGCGAGTTGCGGACGAGGTTAGGACTTCGCGCGTCGCGATTTCTCCACGCGGTCTCGACGTCCGCGAGGATCGATCGGCCCGGGAGGACAATCGAAACGGTTTCTCGGGTCCGCGGAGTAATCAGCGTCTATCACGCCGGCGTCCGGCAGCGTCGAGCCCTCCCGAGACATTTGTCAGTCAGTCGCGGAGGAACCGCGAGACCGCGGCCGCGTAATTGGCCCGCGGTCCGTCGACTTTTCCGCCGGCCGTGAGTCAGAAAAAGGGGGAACGATTTCAATACATGGCGTTCAGTCTCTTTTTACTACTTAGCGGACTCCACCCTGAACGTCCGGCGTCCCGACGCGTCCTCTTGACCCCTGTCAGGAATCCCGGGGGGCGGGAGAGGAGCGCGAAAAAAAAGGACTCTCCCGTCGTGAATCGAAGTATTTGCATGACGGGATTAACGTATAATTACTATTGACAGTGGCCGTCAGAGGGCCGACAGGTGTGGGGGTGTGCGGCGGACGTCGCGTCAGGTCCGGCTCTAGGCATGAATAGAGTGCACTGTCCGAATGCACCGAGTCACGGTGCATCGGAGCGGCTCGCGTCCTGGGGGAGCGAGAGAGACGGAGAGAGCCTCCAATCCGGGAAAAGGAAGGAAAAGGCGCGCAAGTAACGGCCCCGACGCGTTGCCTGCATTAATGATGCGGCGATATTTTATTAAACATCCGAGAGGGACGGTGCACTCGAGAGTGCAGTGGTTCCCAGCCTCCGATACCTGACGTGCACCTCTCCCTGTTCCATCGAGGTATCCACCTCAAGAGTCGTTAAAATATATCCCGTTAAAAATACCAGAATTCCGATTATTAAGGTGACACGAAAGGATGATTCTAAATATATTAAATCGTCAAAAAAAATCTTGAATCCACCGATCGATCGCATCGGCGATTTTTCAACGTCTCGCGGAAGGGGGCTGGAGAAACGGGGAATATTATTCTTTTTTCCTCGTTCACGGTGGGAGAGCAGGGAGCTTCCTTTTGCTCTTGTCGCGGATAAGGTGGAGCGCCTCGCGAGGAGGATTACCCTTAATTAGAGACAGCTGATTCGGATAGCGACCCGAATGCACGGGAAGGCGATACGCGCGTCGGTTGGGCAAGGCAAAAGGGAATTGCATCGCATGCCACATAATCGTGGGAGTGTTTCCCATCAAGATACACGTAGGTACCGCGCTCGCCGTAATGCCCTCTCGCGGCACGAAATATATCCACGCCGTGCACTTAGGCGCATGCACCGGGTGTCCGCGGAATGGGGCCCTTTAAAAATACATAAATCCTTTCCAAGAGAGTTGAAAATATTTTCATTCACCGGAGACAATATTGCGATTATCGAGGGCCACTCGACTATCCCCAGGTGGTTTATGTATTTTTTATAGAGAGAGAGAATACATTAATTTTAATTAGAAGGGTAGATAATTAAATCTCGTGTTCTAAAAATTTAAAAGAGTCTCGAATACATGGGAGAGAAAGGGTGAAGAAAATGGTCGTTTTTCGAAAATGAAGAGAATCGCCAATTCGAGTCTTCCGAGGAGTGCGGTCCACCGGGTATGCATCCACCGCGGTGGCGGCGGAGAGAAAGCCGCGGTGCGGCGAGTTAGACGCGGCCGACGACGCGCGGCTTCGCGGGAACAATTAGAGCCCGCTTGCGAGGGTGCAAATCCTGGGTCCCATGTTGTCGAAAATCCTCAAAATCCCGGAAACCTGGGCCAGAGGGGGGGACAAGGAAACGGGCGGAAAACCGTACCGGAGGTTGCCAGGCAAATCGCGGAGCGGCGTGGAACGGACCGATGGAGAACGAGTAAATAAATAAGTAAAACGGAAAAACAAGAGCGACTTAAGCCATGGTAACCCTAAAGAGAGGAGTTACGTCCCGAAGGGGGAGAGAGGGGTCCACGATGCGAGGTCCGGTCGGCCCCCTCTTGGGGAGGGTCGAGGGAATTCGGGGGAGAAAAAAAAAAGGAAGAACTCGGAAAGAAAGAGGGACCCCCGAGAATCGGGGCATTAGCATAACCTAACCCTGAACGCGTGCGCGGCCATATAGCACGGAAATAAATAGCCGGTCGCCGTATCTCTCCGGTTTAGCATAGAGACGGGGGAGAGGGAGAGAGAGAGAGAGAGAGGCCCTTTCTCTCGTGGCCTCTCGGTCCCTCGCGCGGGTGCGTGCACGCGTGCCCCGCGCGGCTCGGCCGCACCGCGCGATGGGCCGCGAGATAGGGCCCGGAGCGCCGCTCGAGATAGGCCGGACGCGAGGTTGTCATCGGAGGCACTGGCCATTGTCTAGGGACTTGGAACACCCTACGACTAGGGAACCGTTCTATATCTGCGCCGAGTCGCCCTAACCCCTGCCGAGACGGAAACGTATTCTCCGATCACAAACCACCCTCGATTTTGCGTATAAATTTCTTTACAGATGTTTTAACAATTTTCTATAAAAAAATGTAATTTCACATATAACGATTCCCCAAAAAACGTCGACGTTGACGCATGATCCCTTCCCCGGCAACACGCGACCGGTGATAAGTTAATCTTCAAAGACTCACCGGTGGTGAAGAGGACGATGGCCTTGAGGCAGGAGTACTCGGCCGAGTCCACGTGTAGAGCCTTGAGCTTCTCGACCTGCTCCTGGAAGATGCGGATGTGGTCCATGAAGGCGACCACGCGGTCGGCAGCCATGGGCGAGGCGTGTAGACCGGCAGCGGCCAGAAGGGGCGCCACGTGGAGCGGCATCGAGCACTGGCTGGCATTAAGGACGAATAGTTCGCTCCAGACTAGCCTGAGGAGCGCCACCTGATCCGTCACCTGGAGGTCCGGGAAGAAGGGGATGTTGCGAGCCCACTCGACGGCCGAGAAGAGGAGCCTGGCGGCCAGCTCGCAGATGTTATCGATGCCCATGATGTTGTTGGGCTGCATGCACTGACCGTACCGCGAGGTAGGGTAGGGCTCCGCCCTGAGGAGGAGGCTGATGTAGGACGAGAGGTACGAGTGGCCGTTGAGGCTGGCGCAGGCCACGGCGTCGCCGTTCGTCAGGGCGAACTGACCCTGGAGACCTGGCAACGCCGGCTGCGAGGGTGGCACTCGCCCCCTCTGGACCGCTGCAAGCAGATGGAGATCGAGGTTAGGTCTGCACGAGGTCGACGAAGTCTCCTGCACGGATTTTTTTCTCATACGAATAGACTCTTATGAAAAATTTGGCATTGTCGTAAATACGAGAATCGGATCCCAAGGGGCAAGAAATCGCGAGCGCTTCCTAGGGGAAGGTGCAAACGGACAAGTGCGCCGGGCAAGGTCGCTGCGCTTGATCTCCACGAGGCGCGCGCCCACGTCCCAACGGGCGTTTCGCGGGTAAATCTCGAGATCGAGACGAGAGAGAAGGGAGAGATGAAGGGGAGAGAATCGTTTATTACGGCCCAAGAACTCGGCTCCCTTTGGGTCAGGCTCTGAATTACAGAGCGAGTCGAATTCTGGGTACGATCCCGGCGCGCAAATAGGGAGACCCGACGCGAAGATAGAGCAAGGTATTAAGAGATTCAGGTGTTACGAAAGTGCCATTTATGTATAAATAAAAAAATCATAATGTTTACGACACCTTTCTCCAAACCAGGTGCTCCGAATAATTTGAAACTGCAATATCTTATCGGCACCTCAAAGTTATAATAATAAAGAGACAGTGATCGTTGCATAACGACAGCTCGCTATATCCGATTCCTGAATAATTCAAGAAAGGATAGAAGGCCGACACCTGGCCGCGAGCGTTCTCCGAGGGTCTCCCGGATGCGGCTGGGCCGTGCCGGCTACGGGACGTTTCGGCGGGTCGCGGCTCCGGAGCGGAGCCGGAGAGAGGCGGCGAGGGAGCGAGACGGAGTGCGGAGGACGGAGACGGAGGTTCCTCTCGAGAGGAGGCGCCCCGCTGGGAAGCGGTGAATTCCAACCTCCGCCCCGCAGCTAACGAACGGACGGTCCGACCGCGTCTCCTTGCGTCTCCCTCTATCCCCGCGACCGGGGATAGCGGCGTCTCTCTCTTGCCTGGATATCTCGCCGTGCCCTTTGCGCGCTCCGGTCCCCCTCGGAGACGCGTACCCGGGCCGCCTATTTACCTCCGTATGTGCGCGAGCGCACCATTCCGCTTTAACGAAGCCGACGAAATATATCCTACCGACGTATATACCTCTACATATCTACGTACATTGCACGAGAATAGGGGAAAAAAAAAAAAAGTAAAAAGTGAATCCCCCGTGCAGGGTAACTCACGGGTCACTGGGACGAGGCGGGCTCCCTCCTCCGCAATCGCCGAGACGGTCCTAATTCGTCGCGCGCCGCGCGCGGAGTGTCGGGGATGCGGGTCCTCGCCTTCTTTTATACCCCCGCCTCGGGCAGCGTCGCGGGGGAGGGGCGGCAGCGGCGGCGGCGAGGGGGATCACACAATGACGCGTAGGTGACACGCGAAATGAGATAAACTTGTTCGGGAACATGCGGGTGAGCTTGTCCAGATCGTGAGATACCCCGATGATTCATTGACATGGTCCCGCGTGCCTCCGCTCCCCTCGCCCCCCCGCCGCCACTCGTCCCCTCGTTCGTCTTACTTCACCGGCCCTCCACTTTTCGGGAACGTCGACTCGAGAGCTCCGTTAAGAAGCGGAGACGCATGGAGCACGCGACCCCCTTCGAATTTTCCCGAGATTTAAGGTTAAGTGAAACACATCGAGAAATTTCCCCGTATGACATATTAATTCCCATTCGACTCGGGGAAAAAATGACGCGACGGTAGTCGTTACCCCCTTTCGTCGTTAATTTCCGAGATTTCTTGGGAACGCCCCCCTCTCCCCTTTTCATGGGGTCTTCCCTTCTCCCTCGGGATCCTGGCACGACTCTCGGCGATGCAACTGCACCGGCGCTCCTGGAGAGGCGAAATTAGCATGATGCGGCTCTCGATAGTACCGGCCTACGCCACGGCGAGGTTAACGTGTACGGTATGCAGATTCGGTACCGTTACGCCGGTGTATCCTACCGAGCGTGTGGTTGGGCGCGCACACGTGCAGCGCGCGGAGCCGCACGCTCGTTCGGTCAACCGAACGGAGTGACGTCGCCGCGGCACCGGTACTTCGTGCTCGCGGCGCGGCGCCGCGTTTTCCGGATGTCCTTTAAGGTGAGGTGAAACCTCAGAGCAGCCGACTCGAGTATTCGAGTCTATTTGAGTCAGTCAATGATTCATTGAATTAAGAAAATATTTCTTTGGTCCAATGACATTTCTTATTTAGGGCGACTAACCGGAATCGAAAGATCCTCTAATGTAGATATTATATATTCCCGAAATATATGTATTCCTTTAAATTTATTTCCGTAAATTATTGGGCCAGATCTTCGGATGAGAACCCCGGGGGCGGACGAGCCGAGGTGGATCGCGTGGCCTCAGTCGGGCCCGGGGAGCCCCAGGACGTAGATCGATGATCCGCTTGCGGGAAAGATGCGAGCTGTCGCTTTCTTGCGTAGGTACTTCGGCGCGCGTGTAGAGGGCCGCGAGAGCGCGCCGAGGCCGGCGTCCTTTGGGCGGCCGCGCGGCACAATGAGCCCCTGCAGGGCCCCCCGGACCCCGGCGTCCCGGCGTCGGGCATCGCTCACAATAATTACAAACACCGAAAGTGACGATCAATCTTGTATTCCGCGGCCGTCCCGGTAATAAACGGATTTCGACAGAGCCAATCGCGAGCCAATCGCGAGCCGGGGATCCCGCGGCGCTCATTTTAAATGCTAATCCCCCGGAGGCGAACGATCGAGTCTTCCCCGGGGATGCAGCGACTGGGAAAGCCTCCGAAAAGAAATTGGGAAAAGTTTAAAAAGAAAGGAAATATTCACGTGGACGTTACAAATAAATTAAAGAATCCTGATCGAATGAACCTTCCGGATTTAATTTCCGTCGGTCTTCACTTGTTCGAATTAACAAAGTATTTCCTCGGTTCAATGAATTATTTTTCTCAGCGTAAGTAACCAAGAACCGATACGAGGCTCGCTCTTCCAGGTCGAGTTTCTCTCGCGGGCCCGCAGGAAGATCGTGACGCGCCGCGTCGGAGCGTCGCGGCGCCGAGGCCGCGATTCCCGTAACGAGGTCCCATAAACGTCGCCTCCTCGAAAGGTGCCAGCGGAAAAATACGCCGCGTCCCGTGGCAGTGCGGCGACCGAGCCCACGACGCCCATAAATAATTCCAGCGCGAGCGATTAAAAAGAAATTCCTTACACCTGGACGCCGCGACGCCTCGACGCCGAAAGGTATTCGGAATTTATTCCCTCCCCTTCCCCTCCCGCCCATCGACGTCGTCTTCGAAGCGATTAACCGTTATCGCGGATTTGCATAAACTCGAGTCTCGCGGAGTCCCGATAAGTCCTCCACCGGGGAGGGGAAGAATTTTTCAAAAAACGAAAAAGTTAATATTAAAATTCGATTTCCCGAGGATCCATTCGCGTCGAGCGTCGCGATAACATCCAATACACTTTTACCCAGAAAAAGAAGGAAAAAAATCGAGATCGAGAAGAAAGACCCGGTAGGGACGAATAAGCGGAGCAGCGGGGTCCGGAAGCGAAAGGAGCGTCGCGGCGGCGCGGATCCCTCGGAGAGAGCGTCGAGCCGATCGCGGATCGTAGGCGACGCGGATTTATGGCGCGCAGAGCACGAAGGCGCAGCGAGCGAACACCGAGGGATCGAGCCTCGCAACCGAACGAATTTTGCGCAACCCCCCCTAGAGGTACCGCGCGATCGTTCGTTAAGTCGATCTTAATTCAGCGGGTAATCTCCTGGATCGGCGATTAACTTCGCTCGAGGCATCTGGAACGGACCGGCCGATCGCGCGAAAGTCGGTTCCGTCCGCGTTCCGCGCCTCCCACTCGACGGGCGCTCTAACGAGAGGGATTCTCGAGTCCTCGAGAGGAGAGATCGGGACCCTCCACCTACGGTTTCTCTGGGACGACCTACATGGACCATGGGTCAACGGGCCAATGGCTGCACCGACCGGTGACACCTGCTCGAGTCTATCCGAGCCTAAGGAACGGTGGTCTATATTTTTTTTTTTCAATCCGTCACCTCAAAAATTCTCAAAAATCCGGAGATTAAGTATCGGAGCGAGGGTCGAACGGATATGCTCTAGTTTCTAGGGATGAGGAAGATCGGCCCCGATTTCGGTCTCGCAAAGACCGCAAGACAGATTTTGTCGGTCCCTCCTCGCTTCCGGCCGGACCAGCGCGATCGGCGCGGTTCCAGCGTGGCAATTACAAATTCGAGCCGAGCCGAGCCGAGCCGAGCCGTCCGAGCGGAGAGTTACGAGCGTCCACGGCGGGGTCGGCTCTTCCCATCATTAACGTCTTCGGGCCGGGGCCCGTCGTGCCACGTAGGTGTTTATTTATCGAGCCCCCCTCCCGGCCGGGAAATTAACCGCCGACCTATTAATTTCCCCCACCGATGGTCGCGCGACCACTAATTATCGCGTTTTTACATAATCCGAATTACCGCGGGCAATTAGTCGGCGACCCATTAGTCTTACCTCTCGCGTGCGCCCTCGCGGAATCCCGAAAGAGGGACCCGAAAGGTCCCCTGGACCCAGGGGGGGCGGGCCCCCCACGCGCGCCGCTTAATGGGACTTTAATGGGACCGATAACTCGTTAAGCAGGGAAATTGGCCGCTCTACGAACTAATTTCCATTTTTTTTTTCCTTCGACCGATTATCGGTCGATCCGACTCTTGGCCGGATGTGGTGCGCATCGACAATCGGGCGGAAATAGTCGCGAGCAACCTTGACACCAAGTCGGTTCCCACGACCCCTCTCCGATAATGGCGCATGAATTCCCGATGTTTTTACGCGGTTCCAGCAAACGCGATCAATTGTTCCATTAGGCCGGTTAACGAAGACGGACGCGTCCGCCTTTGGCTCGAAACGCCGATCCAGAAAATCGGACACGAAGACTAAATGTCCAAATGACCATTTCACATCACCTTAAGGTGTTTCAAAACCCAAGAACTCGAAACGTTAACAAGGGTAGTTCGTTAAACACGGGTCAGGGCCTAGGAGCGACGAAATCATTGTCGCAATGGAAAAATCTAGGACCGCTC